ACTACTATCTTTGGAATTTATTTCCTTGGAGGTTGGTGGCAGCCTGAATTTGGCAGTGTTCAGGGCAGTGTGCTTTTGAATTTGCTTTCATTTCTTTTTTCTTTTTTTCCTCTCCTAAAGCTTGGGGTTGTGAGGACTTAGGGCATTGCTTCATTAGGAAAGGGAACATGTCAACCTGTGCTGAAACTGCTGTGCTACAGGATGCCTAGACTCGCATGATGTGCCCTGAATAGGGACAGGCAGGATTTAGGACTGAGCTCAATATTAAAACCAAACCAAAACCAAACCCAAAACCAAAAACAGCTATCAAAGGCAGAAAATAAATGAGAACATTTCACGCCTCTGAATTTCAAAATTAAAAGACAAGTTAAAGACTGGGAAAAGTGTGTTTGAAACATATATAAGAGAAGTTTAATGTCATTTGAAAGTGCACCTTTAGGACTTCCCTGATGGTCCAGTGGTTAGGACTCTGCGCTTCCACTGAAGGGGGCACGGGTTCGATCCCTGATCGGGGAGCTAAGATCCTGCATGCTGCGTGGTGTGGCCCCCACCGCCCAAAAAGTGCACTTTCAAATCAAGAAGAAAATGGCGAATACCTCGACAAAGGGTATAATAATATAATAATGCACAGTATAAGGAATACAAATGGTACTAACTATATAAAAATGCTCACCCTCACTAGTAATCAAAGAATTTCAACTTAAACAAAAAGCCATGTTTTTGATTATCAAATTGGCAAAGATTAAAAATAAAAATAGAAACTGAGGTGGTGAGTATGTGAGAAATGGGTACTTACTTTTATAAGTAGCTAGTGAGTGTATAAATTGGAGGGCAATTTGGCAGTGCATATCAGAAACCTTAAAATTGTGTGTACCCTTTGATACAGCAAATCCAATTAAAGGAATTTAACTTTAGGGAACTCCCTGTCAGTCCAGTGATTAGGATTCTGCGCTTCCACGAGTTAGATCCCTGGTCAGGGAACTAAGATCCCACAAGCTGCATGGCGCAGCCAAAAAAGAAAAGGAATTTAACTTTAAGGAATTATCATGGATCTGTGTAACTATTTAGCTACAAGGATGTTAAATAATATACCTATACTATGAAATACGCAGGTATTAAAATGATGTCATAGGTATTTAATTATATAAAAGGATATTCATAATATGTCAAATTTTAAAAGTTAGTTAAAATTAGCATATAACGGGACTTCCCTGATGGTGCAGTGGTTAAGAATCCGCCTGCCAATGCAGGGGACACGGGTTCGAGCCCCGGTCCGGGAAGATCCACATGCCCCAGAGCAACTAAGCCCTTGTGCCACAACTACTGAGCCTGCGCTCTAGAGTCTGTGGGCCACAACTACTGAGCCCACATGTCACAACTACTGAAGCACACGCGCCTAGAGCCTGTGCTACACAACAAGAGAAGTCACTGCAATGACAAGTCCGTGCACCGCAATGAAGAGTAGCCCCCGCTCACTGCAACTAGAGAAAGCCTGCACGAAGCAACGAAGACCCAACACAGCGAAAAATAAATAATTTAAAAAATTAGCATATAACAGTATAATCCAGTTTTTACAAAAGAAAATCTGATGGATAGAGAAAAAGACTAAAAGGATGGAAAAGAAAGTTAACAGTTATAACCAGTGGTTTTTCTAGGGTAGTGGAATTGCATTTAATTTTTCTTCATTTTCATCATCTCTGTTTTATAAATTTTCTACAGAGAATATATTTTCTTTTCATAAATAGAAAAATAAACCTTCATAGCATTATATATTTAGCCAAATGGTGGTATATTTTTATTCCCTGAGGATGGTGCCAGTGGAAGAAGCCTTATGGCTTCAAAGGTAACTTGGGCAATGAGCTCTATCATTTTCAAATTTTAAATAAGAATTTTTTGAATTTGAAGCAATTTGACTTTGCTCTTTGTGGAATAGTAATGTGAGGACTCTCTCTAGAATTAAAAATTCACTCTGACTCTTAGACAAGTGATTTAATCCCCTTTTAAAATTAAAATGATGTTCTGAGGAAATTAGTCCACAAGGACTAACGTAACCATGAAAATAAGCACTGACATTTGCAGAGTTTAAAAATAAATTAGGGCCCCAAAGCCCATTACACCAGTCTAAACATGAGAAAAACATCAGACAAACCCAAATTGAGAGTGGCATTCTACAAAATACAATTGCTCCTCAAAAGAGTCCCGGGTGTGAGAAGCAAGGAAAGACTGAGAAACTGTCACAGGTCAGAGGACACGAAGACAGGACAACTAAACACAACGTGGTATCCTGAGTTAGATCCAGGAACAGAAGAACATTAGTGGAAAAACAGGTGAAATCCAAATAAAGTCTGGAGTTTAGTTGGTAGTAACTCACCAATGCTGTTTTCTTAGTTTTGACGAATGTACCAGGGTAATATAAGATGTTAACATTGTACGGTGACTAACCATCCTGGTTTGCCTGGGAGAGGGACTTTCTACATATGAAATATACACTACTCATCTTTTTATTATCTTGCCGTTTGTGTTTTCAGAGATACTTGTTTGCAGGTGGCCTTTTAGATGTATTCACTTTTAGTATACATTAAATAGACTTCTAAAAGTTTGTACTTTCTTCATTCCATGCTTTATCCATGGATTTTACTTACTTTTGAAATATTCATTTCTAAGCCTTTGTTCATATGCTCTCATCTCCTCTCAAAAAAGTTTCCATGATTGGTTGAACCCCTTTATGCACAGGTCCCTATACTGTTCTTATAGAGTCTTTCACTCCAGTATTCTACTAGATTTTTAAAAGTGAAGATTCTATTTACTTTTTTTCTTCCCATTTAAAAAATCAAGGTAAAATTTACATACAATAAAACATCCTTTTCAGGCACAATTCTATGGATTTTGGACTATACTAGATTTTTTACAATTGTAATTCAAATATTCCCTTCTTCATTCTTAATAGATGTTTGAATTCATCAATCAAGATAAAGATGACTTGAAATACTTACGGACTATGTCTATACCAGTTATAATAAATAAAAACTTCATTAAATTATTGTTTATTTCCTAAATATTCCTTTTCTCCTGAAGATTCAGAATTATTAAGTTTAAATTTCATGGAGGACAAGACATTGGTAAATTCTGTAGGAAATCAATGATTGAAAGTATCAGAAAGTTATGATTTAATTTAAAAAGTCAGCATGAATTCACATCTTATCTGCCTCAGTTATGTGAAATAACCTCTGGGTCTAACAAGAAATATCAGCTGAGGGAAGCCATGAACCAATTACTTGGGATAAAGCACCATGAAAAGAATACTATACAAACAACTAATCTGGAAGTTAGAGAAGTAAGGTGTAAGGATGAACTACTTAAGTAGATTAAACATTGACTTTGATATCAAAGTGTGGAATAGTTTGGAATGGATGGATTACAAAGCTCTAGTGATCAATATTAGGACCAATTTTATTCATTTTATATGTCAATGACTTAGAAGAAGGAACATGCAGTTTTGTATGTTATACAAAACGAGAGGGAGGGACAGTCAATACAAAGAAGGAATGAAAAGACTTGAGTAGACTAGGAACAGAAGCAGATAAGTGGCTTATTCAATTCAAGGTGGAGGAAATAAGAAGAAAGATCATCTCATAGTAATATGAAATCACAATGTTCAAAATAGAGTAAAAGAATGAAAACTCATTAGGTGAGTAAATAAGCATGCTAGAAATAGAATAATTCAAATGCTATGAGTAAGAAAGGAATATTAACTATAGAGTTTAAATATTAATATTCTAAGTAAAAAAATTAAGTGTATTTTTAATGTAGTAGACTAAAATAATAACTCACTGGAATATATATAATTAGAGCAAATAATTATGCTTTGGGAATTCCCTGGCGGTCCAGTGGTTAGGACTCCGAGCTTTCACTGCCAAGGACCCAGGTTCAATCCCTGATCCGGGAACTAAGATCCCACAAGACACGTGGTGCGGCCCAAAAAAAGAAAATAGTGACATTTGCTGTCAGGGATGAGAGAACACTTGTATTCTGGGTAGTCTATCAATACCAGAAATATCTTATTAGGTGGTAGAGTCACCTAATTTATTATTTATTATGCTTTATAATTTACATATATATTGCACATATTTTATATATATCAAACGGTATATAATAAAGACATTTAAAGATTTCCTTACAAGTTTGTGATGATTTGTTCAGCTGGTGAATGCTAGTTTTGTGGCCCCTTTACAATCAGCAGGTCATATCACTAGCAGTTTCTCCATGAAAATAAGATGTCTGAGACTTTCATCTTAACAGAATACAAATTCGTGGTGTATTGAAATCAATGAACCATTTAATAGATATTTGTTCATTATTTTCTCTTTGCTCAACAAATGTTTCCTGAACTTATATCAAACATGTCTCTTTTGATAAAGCATAAAAATCTAACATTTTCTTTTAATATTTGAAATTCAAATAAGTTAATGTCATAGCTTTAAAAAAAAAAGTCCCAGTGGCACAAATGAAGAGTTGTTTTGTTTTCAAATCATACTCCTCTCCTTCCTTGAGAATCACCACTTACAAGTCACAGAAAAAGGGTGAGACATCATGCTGGGGCACAAAACATGTAGGATTGAAACAGTGGTGACAACGTGGTCATGAATTAAGCATAATATTAAGGGTACATACTCTATGTGTCTTGGAAAATTAAAAGCAAGGGAATTACTAATTGCTGGAAGTAATGGCTTTATGGAAGAGGTTAAGACTTGAACTGAGGCTTAAAAGCTTGTTTGAATTTGCAAGAGCACAGGGGAGAGGGCAGGACAAGCCTGGTGGTAGAGTGAGTAAAGGTTCAGGGGTAGGAGTGATTACACACATAGGGCAGTGAGGGGTTTGTATGCATTAGATCATGAGAATCACTAACATTTTTTTTTTTTTTTTTGCAGTACGCGGGCCCCTCACTGTTGCGGCCTCTCCCGTTGCGGAGCACAGGCTCCGGACGCGCAGGCTCAGTGGCCATGGCTCACGGGCCCAGCCGCTCCGCGGCATGTGGGATCTTCCCGGACCGGGGCAGGAACCCGTGTCCCCTGCATCGGCAGGCGGACTCTCAACCACTGCGCCACCAGGGAAGCCCTCACTAACATTTTTGAGGCAATGGAAGGTTAATTTGGTGGCAGATGCAGAAAAGAAGGGCGCAGGAAAGTCTGGAGTACCATCTAGAGCTACAGAAGTCCAGACAGGGCAAAGCACCCTTTGATCTCTTTCAGAAGGAGCTGTCTAACCCTCAGTGATTTCTGAATTTGGAAGATACTCCTTTAGCAATGTATGTAGTGGACTTTAGACTTTGTTATTTCTCTTCTGTTTTATCTGGATTTGTGTATGTTTATCTTTTGTCTCTTAAATGGATTATCTGCTTCTTGGCAGTAGAGACCAAGCAGTACCTTATGGAATAGGGTTCAATAAATTTTGTGGTTTCAGAGGGTAGCTGAGAGAGATTCTGCAGGAAAACTTGTTAGCACCTCGTAACTGGCTGCCAGTGAGAGAAGAAAGAGAGAAATGTGTCAAAGGCAATTTCATGTATGGGCATCTGAGAAAATGAGAACCTTGCTGTCAGAGGTAGGAAAGTCACAAGGGAGAGGGGAGCTGGTTCTGTAGAAAGTTATCAGTTTAGCTTTGAACATTCTGAGTTTGAGGTGAAAGTGAGACATTCCAGAGGAATTTACAGTGCTTGAGGTTATGGAACTGGAACTCAGGTGACAGGAGACAATTACAGAGATTTGGGATTGAATTTAGAGATGGCTAAAGTTGCAGGAATGGTCGAGCTTCCAGGGGATGAGCTTGTAAAGAAAAGCTCAGGGAATCAAAACCTGAGTCTGGAGTAATGTTCATCATTTAGGAGCTGGAAGGAGGGCAAGAAACACTAAACCTGCACTGTCCAGTATGGTGGTCACTAGCCACATGTGGCCATCTAAATTTAAATTAATTAAAATTAAATACAATTAAAAACTCAGTTCCTGGGTCACAATAGCCACATTTCAAATGCTCACTAGCCACGTGTGATTAGTGGCTACTGTAATGGAAAGTGCAAACAAAATGTTCCCCTCATCATAGTTTTATTGGACAGCATTGCAAAGATATAGAGAAATACTCATTTGAGAGAAAACCAGAAAGCCTATGACCTTTCAAGGGAGGAGAAAGTTTAAGGACGAAACGTTTACAGTGTCAAATGCCGAAAAAGAATGAAAATCTGCGTAGGGACAATCCATGGATTTGGCAATAAGGAAGTCATTGGAGACCTTTAAGAGCAATTTCAGGTAGCATGGTAGGGACAGAAACTGATGTAGCATTGCATTAGGAAGGCAGTAGGTAGAGAGCAAGTTATTGAGACCTTGGGCAAGCAAAGGAAAGAAAGAAGACAATAATTAAAGAAAACCGCAGAGTCACATGGAGGGGTTTTAAAGATGGGAGACTTGTTCATGTTTGGAGAATGGACAGAGGCCTATGAAGATGTTAAGGGCTTTGTCTGGGAAAAACTCCTGGTTTCTCTTTTTACTGTCACAGTCATAATCCTCAGAACACTTCACTTCTAGTCACCAAATGTGTGTTTTCTTAAAAAAACTTATATATTTATTTATTTATTGGCTGTGTCGGGTCTTAGTTGCAGCACGCAGGATCTTCGTTGAGGCATGCGGGATCTTTCGTCGCAGTGCGTGGGCTCCTTGTTGCAGAACTTGGGCTTCTCTCTAGTTGTGGCCTGCGGGTTTTTCTCTTCTCTAGTTGTGGTGCACGGGCTCCAGGGTGCGTGGGCTCTGTAGTTGTGGCGCGTGGGTTCCAGAGCACGTGGGCTCTGTAGTTTGCGGCACACAGCCTCTCTAGCTGAGGTGCCCGAGCTCAGTAGTTGTGGTGCACGGGCTTAGTTGCCTCTTGGCATGTGGGATCTTGATTCCCTGACCAGGGATCGAACCTGCATCCCCTGCATTGGAAGGCGGATTCTTTACCACTGGACCACCAGGGAAGTCCCCAAATGTGTGTTTTTAATCCCACACTAACCAGTTCTCCAACATCAGCTGGATGTCCTACAATTCAGTTCTGACACTGTCTGGAATTAGGGTCAGATCTCACAGGTTAAAGGCTCAGCCCCACAAGCCTGTCCCCACTTCAGACACCAGTTGCAAGTCTTAGATTGTTTCCAGTACTTCTGACCGACCAGCGATAAGTTGGGGTCCCTACAACATCATATTTGGGTTTGATGATTTGCTTGAATGTCTCACAGAACTCAGGAAGACACATTTACCGTAAGGGATATAGATGAGCAGACAGATGAAAAATATGTATGGTGAGGTTTGGGGAAGGGGTTAGGAGCTTCCATGCCCTCTCCTGACATGCCACCTTCCTAGCATCTAGCAATCTGGAAGCTCTCTGAACTCCATACTTTAGGGATTTTTATGGAGGCGTCATCACATAGGCACGACCGATTATTGACTCATTTTCCAGCCCCTCTCCAGAGGATAGGGGGTGGGGCTGAAAGTTCCAAGTTTCTAATCGTGGCTTGGTCTTTATAGTGATTGGCCCCCATCCAGGAGCCCACTTGAAGTCAGCTCATTAGAACAAAAGATACTCCTATCATCCAGGAAATTCCAAGGGATTTAGGAGCTCTGTGTCAAGATCCAGGGTCAAAGCCAAATATTTGAACAAAAGATCCTCCTAGTGCTACTATCACTTAGGAAATCACAAGAGTGACAGGAGCTGTGTGCCAGGAACAGGGCTGGGGGTGTGGGGAGGGGGCAGAGAGCAATACATGTATTTTCTGTTATTTCACAGGCACCCAAATCCCTGCCCTGCATTTGCTTCTCTTTTTAGTTATGAGTTCAAGTTTACAATAGTCTGTAAACTTGGATAGCTCATGAATATCCTGCTAGCACCTCCAACTCAACACATCTAAAATCAAACCCATGATTGTCTGTCCCATACGCATTCCATTTTTTATATTCTTTATTCCCAGCTCATCTTTCCAGTTACTAAAGCTGGAAAACTTAGTCATATGTGAATCATTCTCTCCCTCCCCTCCACTCCTTCAGTCAGTCAGCTGCCCGGGCATGCTTATTTTTAATACCTCTGCCATAGACTCATGTATTAATTTATTCTTTTTGTTTGTTTGTTTAAAATAATGATTATGAAATATTTCAGGCAAACAGGGCAGTAATAGAGAAAAATATCATAATGATAGTATACTCAGCCTAGCTTAAGAAAAACTTGAAATATGAAATCCGTTCAGATCCCATCCTTCTCTCCATACCAAGGGTAATCAACATTTAAAATTTAGTATTTATCATTCCCATGCAAGATTTATAGTTTTACTCCACATGTATCCATATATAGTATAGAATATAAGTCGGTATGTTTTTAAACTTTATATAAATGGTGGTATACTGTTTATTCTACTATAACTTTTTTTCACTCACTATTATTTTTGAGATTTATCCATGATGAATCATGTTTCATTTATTTTAAATGTTATTTAATGAATATACCATGATTTATTAACCATTGTGCATTTTACTGTATATAATGTGTATATATATACACCCATATTTCTATATATAATAAATATATGTGTGTGTATAATTGCTTTTATTTTTTTACTCGACTCTAGAGTTGAAATGGAGTGATGACATGGTGCAGCATTTCAGCCATTTTTTGGGTAATTGGAAAAATTCTATTCCTCAAGGCAGGTAAAAACTCTTTTCAATATTTTCTACAGTTCTATCCAGCTTGCTCTCTGCCACCTCATTCTTTATTTTTTCCTCTTTCTCTTACCTCATCTAACTAGGCCTTGGGCATTGTTGGCTCTTTTTGAGAATAGTTGGTAGATCTGTCTGGCTTATAGAATTAAAGGATAGAAAAATGGAATTCCCTGGCAGTCCAGTGGTTAGGACTCGGCACCTCGGCCGTGACCCGGGGTTTGATCCCTGGTCAGGGAACTAAGATCCCACAAGCCACACCGTGTGGCCAAAAACAAACAAACAAACAAAAAATTCCATTATAAGATAGAGATTTAATCATGAAATAAATTTGAATACACTTCATGTTGAAGGTTATTGTTCATCATTGAGAGACACCACAACTTAATGGCATCAGGTTTATTTATTTTTAAGTATTATTAAAGTATATATATATACTTTTTTATAATATTCTTTTTAAAAAAATTAATTTATTTATTTTTGGCTGCATTGGGTCTTCGTTGCTGCGCACGGGCTTTCTCTAGTTGCGGCGAGCAGGGGCTACTCTTCGTTGCGGTGCGCGGGCATCTCATTGTGGTGGCTTCTCTTGTTGTAGACCACGGGCTCTTAGGCACGCGGGCTTCAGTAGTTGCCGCACGTGGGCTCAGTAGTTGTGATTCGCGGGTTCTAGAGCACAGGCTCAGTAGTTGTGGCGCGCGGGCTTAGTTGCTCCGCGGCATGTGGAATCTTCCCAGACCAGGGATCAAATCCGTGTCTCTTGCATTGGCAGGCGGATTCTTAACCACTGCACCACCAGGGAAGTCCCTTAAGTATATTTTTAAGTGTTGATATTTTTAAGTAAAGCTACCTCATAAGTTTGCTAACTTATAACCAAGAGAATTTCTAGCATTTTTATATTATTCTAAGAAAGATAATTCACAAGATACTTTCTAGCACTTTATATTCTTCTAAGACAGATTATTAACAAGGTAGAAATGCATAATCCACCTTTTCTTAGAAAATTGCAACAACTCAGAAATATGGCAGTAGACTAAGGTTCCTGGACTGACATGAATATGACTTCAGAAGTGTTACGGATACTTAGAAAATTTAGAATACCCAGGGACATCAATAGCCTGAATGAAAAGAATGGGATTTCTTGAATTGTAAAAATATCAGTCCTTTTGTACCATGGTGATATCATTGGTGTGGAGCTTGAATGAAAATAAGGGTCTAACTCACTTGGGAAAGTTGATCTTGAAAGAGGTGAACTATTATAAGGTCAAAGAAATTTTATCATACAGTATGTATTGGTTAATTGTAATTTTTTAATTCATCATTCATTTTCCCACAAGATAATTATCTTGACAGTCTTTCTGCTTAGCATTAATTAAACATCCACAACGTGTTCAGTATTGGTTAGAGCATTCAAAATATATGACCCCTAACACAAGGAGTTCACATTCTAAGAAGACTTGCTTTAAAAATGGTCTTCCTGGGCTTCCCTGGTGGCGCAGTGGTTGGGGGTCTGCCTGCCGATGCAGGAGGCGTGGGTTCGTGCCCCGGTCCGGGAGGATCCCACGTGCCGCGGAGCGGCTGGGCCTGTGGGCCGTGGCCGCTGGGCCTGCGCGTCCAGAGCCTGTGCTTGGCAACGGGAGAAGGCTGCAGCAGTGAGAGGCCCTAGTACTGAAAAAAAAAAAAAATGATCTTCTTTATAAATATGTATGTTTGATCTACTTTATTGTGTTTATCTTTTCTCTTTTCTTTATTTTTTACATAACAGGTAAGTGAGTCTTTTCAGTTGATCATTTAAGAAGACTTGATATGTTGATTGGTGAGACTGACGCGTGGGTTTGAAGCCTGACTCTGCCATTTATTTGAAAATGACACTGAGCAAGTCTGAAAACCTTGCTAGCCTCAGTTTCCTTATCTATACAATGATGAACGTATGATACTTACCTATTAGCGCTGTGAGGATTAAAGATGCAAAGGAGTTGGCACATAGCAAAAGCTCAAAAAGCTCTCCTTTTTGGTAGACTAAGTAAAAATAAGACAGGAAACACGGCTTTTGAGGTATATATATATATATATATATATTTTTTTTTTTTTTTTGCGGTACGCGGGCCTCTCACTGTTGCGGCCTCACCCGTTGCGGAGCACAGGCTCCGGACGCGCAGGCTCAGCGGCCATGGCTCACGGGCCCAGCCGCTCCGCGGCATGTGGGATCTTCCCGGTCCGGGGCACGAACCCGTGTCCCCTGCGTCGGCAGGCGGCCTCTCAACCACTGCGCCACCAGGGAAGCCCTTTTGAGGTATATTTTTGAGAAAGTAGGGAAGATAAGAAATATGAAGGGGGTTAAGTACACCTAGTCAATGTCAACTAGAATGCTTCTGAAATATGATAGTGATTACATAAGTAGAACAAACTTGAAGATTCTTGAAATCCAGTGTACACAAGCTGAAGAGATTCAGAGGTGGGTAAAAGGAGGGTCACAATAATAGCAACAAATTTTATGTTAAATAGACATTGACTTAGGTGGAACTATACAAAACTGCCACCTTTTTAGACAAAAAATGGGTGAATACTGGCAATTTAATATTGTTCACTTAATAGATGTTCAGAAGGGAAGAAAGGCAGTAGGAGCTGTGAAGGAAAGGGCAGAGCCCTTTAGCTGTGGTGCAGTTAACCAGGGCTGTCACTGTTTTTAATACAGAATGGCTAGGCTCCTGCAGATGTGAATCAAGTATTATTTAGTGCCCTCTTCTCTTTGTAGAGAAAAAGGGGATTGAAGATGCATGAAGATGTCATGCCAGTGGGTCTGTAGGTCTTTGAGGCCCTTTGACATTCATCATGGTTTCCAAAGGATTTAACTTACAAAAACACAAATAAGTTTTAAAAAAATAAGTGAGGAAATTGAGAAAAAGGGAAAATAAAGTGACATTCAGATCTCCTGCTGTGATGTAAACAGTGACCAGCATAGAGCTTCCTCAAATCATCTTTGGAAAGGAGAAAGTATAAATAATATCCAGCACAGCTCTTCCCTTCTTGATAAGCAACTGCAGTTTCTGAGTTCCTATGTAGTGTAGCAGTAAGTGCCATTGAGAGGCCGTCTTCTACCGAAAAACAAGTATCTTTTAATTAACACAAGTTGTATTTCAAGATTTGACTACAGTACTGGAATAACTAAGAAAAGATGTTCTTTCCAGAGACTACCTTCATTTCCAGTCTTCTTAAGATATTCCATGACAATAACTCTTTTCAGTGTGGTCTGAGCAGGTCCTCTGAATCTGATTATGTAGTAGTGATACTTTTGGTATATGTGTCTCTTAAAAGCATTGCCTTAAAAGCAGAATAGTTAGCTCTGGTAGGTTATTATTTCTTCAGTTAGATTAGATGAACTGTTTTTGCATCTTGTCAGAATGGTATATGGACCAAAAATGTTTGAAAATGATTTTTTCATTTCCATTTGTCAATTGGTATCAGTGAGGAAATGAACTGAATTTCTGTGGCCAAGTACTTTGCTTTCTATGGGTGGCTAGACTAAGACTTTGTGAAAGGGGCATGGAGGTAGTATGCTTAGACTCATAAAACACATCCCCACTCCTAGAAAAACACCTGAAAATGTCTGAAGTATCTCTTCTAGGGAAAGAGCTATTCTCTATCCACTACATCCATGTAAGTAGAAAGAGTGACAATACTGTGACTTCCCTCCACTTGTTTTCACTTGTCCTCCCCTGAAGCCTCCCATCCCTCTTTTTCTTCTTCAAAAATCAGCTTATTCTATAACACTTTAATTTTCCTTTAGAATTTAAGTGTAAAATGGTACAGGGAGGGTTTATACAATTTACTTTAAAAAGTGATTCTTCTACTTATGAGACAAAAGTTCTCACTGTTAGAAGACATCAACTTCATTCTTAGATTTAGAATTTCAAGTCTTGTTTTTGCATGTTTGTGGTTTTTAGGTCATTTCCCTGGAAATTCCATCTTTTGTACAATTAAGTGCCCATTAACCATGCAATGTTTCTGATCCTATGAGAAGATGAAAATATAAAAACTGAGATGCAAGCTCTGTCTCTCATAAAAGAATTCTTAAATTCTTTTCAGTTAGCGCACACAAAATCTAGTTCAAGTGCTTGGGCTTTACAACTCCAGCCCCCAGCACAACTTTATTTACGAAACAAATATAATAATCACAGTTGCAACACTAATTCTTGGAGTCAGATTTCTAACAAAAAGCGTATGGTGGACAGCATTTCTACCTCTTGAGCTTAACCTCTCTCTTGGCAATTAGATCTAAAGGTAATAGGCAGAGATGTCTCTTGGTTGGCAACACACACACACAAAACTTGAGTATTTCTCCCACCCAGGATGACATCAAGATGTCAAGGATGCCAAAGAGCAAAGGAGTGTTAACCTAATCCAGTAAGCGAAACGGGATTTTTAATTAAAGTGTAACTAAAATGTTCCAAGAAAAAAAAACTTCGCTGAGATTCACTATTTTAAAAATGCTGGCAATTATTGATGGGCTTTTTCAGATATTTCACTCGTTACCAAGACGATTAAGAAGCAGGGAATAATTTATGTTTGTGCAACAAAATGGTTATGTGGCCAAAAAAACCATTTTTTTAAAGGATTGTGTCCCTTTGAATATACGCACTACGTATTAAATGAAATATATTTGTCTGCTTTGGTGCCACTGGCCAGAATGAAAGCTCTCCTATCTGTGAGGTGAATTGAGATTTCTTTTCTGCTTAAAATGCCTGCTTCCAGGGTACGTAAAAGTGGGAGACTGGTTGGGAAACCAAGGGCTAAGGGGGATGGGAACGAGATGCTCAGACTGAATCTAAGAGCTGAACGTGTGCGAGAGAAAATCCTCCTCCAGCCTCGGAGGGGGTGTCTCCCCCAATACCAGCTCCCTCCTCCCGGGCTCGCGGGGCGGGCCCGGTTTGCTCAGTAGCAGCAGCGGTCGCAGCAGCAGCCCCGGGGCTGAGCGACGGCGGCCTCCTGGCAGCGCAGGGAAGCAGAGGCTCCGAGAGCGCCCTGGGGAGATCCGGCTGCCGCCGGGATGGAGGAAGCGTCGAGTGGAGCCGGATCCTCCGGGGACGGATTTCCTCCCCAGCTCAGCCCCCCTACAGCTTGCTGGGGCCTGCTCCGAGCGCCTGCAAGGTGGAAGAGGCCTTCGCCTCGGCCTGGCAGCGGCAGCCGGCGAACTAGGCGGCCACAGCGGGGTAACAGGCTAGCCGTAGCCGCTCTCGGGAACCTTCGCCGCCACGACCGCTCATTGTCTCTCCCCTTCCACCCGGGGGGCAAACAGGAAGCGCGCCGCCTGGCCGAGTGACGGACGGGCATCCGGGCCAATGAGCACTGCCTACGAAGAGCGTGGTGGCGAATGAGCGCGGAGAAGAGGGGCGGAACTTCCGGGCGGGCTGTCACCCTCTTCCCCCCTTTTGGGCTGGAGGCTCCACCTTTTGTGTTTCCCGCACAGTCAATCAAAATAGGAAAAAAAATCCCCGGACCGCTCCGGCCGTGTCCGCCGCCGCTTCCCGCATCCTCTCCCGCCGCCGCCGCCTTCGCTCCTCACCATGTGTAAGGCGGCGGGGAGCCCCGCCTGAGGTGCCCTAAACACACTATGACCGGTACGTAAAGCCGAGAGAGAGCAACCCTTCCTGCTGCCGCCGCCGCCGCTACCGCCGACCACAGCCTGCCGGGGGCCACCGCCGCCGGCTCCCGGCCCCCTGTGTGCGACCGAGTATCTGTGAGAGGCAGAAAGCCGCAATCCCCTCCGCCTCCCTCCCCTCCCCGCCAGCTACCGTCCACCCCTCAAGCCCCAGCAACGCAGTGTCCCCGCCGGGCCCGGGGCTGGCGGTCCGGGCCGCCGGGAGCGTATCCCCCTGTGTGCGGGCGCGGGCGGCGGGCGAGCGTGTGAGTGACTGACGGTGCGAGAGGAGCGAGCGCGAGTGAGAGCGAGCGGCGCGAAGGGAAAGGGGAGGAGAGGAGAGGGGGCAGGGGCAGCGCGGGGAGGAGGAGGAGGAGGGAAAGAGGAGGAGGAGGGTTACAGGCAGCGGCGGGCGGGGGCAGCAGCAGGAGGGGAGGAGGGAGCAGCCGCCGCCGCCGCCGGGGGGCGGGTGGGGGAGGGGAAGGGGACTCGGTCCGGGCTTTCGGAGTAATTTCGCCTCGGCCCGCGGGCCCCCTCCCTCTCCTCCACCCGCCTTCCTCCCCACCCCCACCCCCCCCGCGCTGTGCCTGCAGCTCCCGAAAAGCCCGTGAAACAAGAGGAAATGGCTGCCTTGGACGTGGACAGCGGCGGCGGCGGCGGCGGCGGCCACGGCGAGTATCTGCAGCAGCAGCAGCACGGAAACGGCGCGGTGGCGGCGGCGGCGGCCCAGGTGAGGAGCGGCTTAGCCCCGGCCCGGCTCCCCCCTCGCGCCGCTTTCTCCTCCCCTCGCCTCTCCCCTCCCTCCGCGCTTCTCTCCTCCCCTCCCCCCGCCCCGGGAGCTGCCCGCCCGAGGCGCCAACGCTCCGACCCCGCCCGCGCTCCCCCGCCCGCCGTCTTTTTGTGTGAGTGTGTGTGTGTGTGTGAGAGAGAGAGAGTGTGAGTGTGTGTGAGCTTGCGCCCTCCCGGGGCTGGGTTCCGGGCGGAAGGTGGAGGCCCGGCGCGCGGCCCGCCGCCCGCCTTCCCGCGGACGGTGGAGCCCGTGTGCGTGCGAGCCGGAGGGCGCGAGCCGGAGGCGAGGAGGAGGAGGAGGAGAGCGCGGGCTGGCGCTCGCCCGGGTGCAGCCTGCGAGGCCCGAGTCGCACTTCCTGTGCGAGCGCGGCCCGGCCCTAACCGCCACCCCCTCCCCCTGTCTCCCTCTCTGAACCCGCCCATCGGGGGTAGGACACTCAGCCGTCACCGCTCGCTCTGCTGGCCGCTACCTGCAGCAAGATAGGGCCACCATCGCCGGGCGACGACGAGGAGGAGGCGGCCGCCGCAGCCGGGGCCCCCGCCGCCGCCGGAGCGGTAAGTCTCGCGCGCGGCCCGCCCCCGCCGAGGCCCTGCGCCCGCCATCCCGGGCCCGCGGCGCGCCCGCCATCCCGCCCGAAAGGCCTCCCCGGCGCCCGCGCCTTCCCGGAGAGGGACGGTCGCGCGGCCGGGGCGCCCTTTCCTGCTCTTTCGCATGCTTGTTCGGATTAGAAGCCAGACCAGGCTTTCTCTACATTGTCACTGCGGCACCTCCATCCAAATTCACTACAAAATGAAGTCTGAGAGGGTGGGGGTAGAGGACTCCAAAATGGATGTTAGAGCAATTCATATCAGTGCTGAAAACTCCTTCGCCGAGCGCTACGGAAATTTCAGGCACAGCCTATCGGCCATAGATAGTATCAGCTACGGAGGCAGTGTCTTCAGTTTCTAGTATTTTTTGAACTCGGGGCTTTTCCTGCTGGAAGTTACTAGATCTTACTGATTTAAGTGTTAAATCGTTTTTTTACAAAAAGGAACGAAGGTTTACTCTTTGAATTACTCATGTATACAAGAATGAACACTTGAATACTTTTTAAGTGCTTTTTTGATGGCCATTCTAAATTGTCGAATTTTAGTTTTTGCAGACTACTTAAATTCACAGTAATTTTTCATAAATGAAATTTAAGTGACCGTTGAAATCGGCGAAGTTACGTAGTACTTTGGCTCTTGAAATTGAATAGGTATACCAGTGTTAGAAACAAAAGTACGTGTATGGAATTATATCAATATTTACATTAATGCTAATGCATACCATACTTAGTTGAATTTGGTTGGCAAAGCTATATTTTCATTTTATTGTGATTGCCAGTCTGATAAGATGTGGTGGGATTCTCTTTATAGGATTTTTAGTTTGTCGGGGGCAGGGGGAGGAGCTGGCCAGTGTTACAGGAGGGCTTCATACCAAGTAGCTATAAACTGTTTCTAAGATTTTTGTGAATTTTATATTCGTTTGAATCTTTGTTGTTGGGTTAGTTTAACATGTAGATGTGTTCACTTATTAAAATAATTGAAACTTCTCCCATCATTTTTGCGTGTTTTTTTTTTAATGTGGATTATGGGAATCGGTTTGTGTCGTGATATTTTGAATTGTAACTGTGGACAAAAAAGTTTGATATTTGGTATAGTCTGCAGGAAATTCTTAGTATTCCAAGGCATAAAAAGTGAAGCTAATGTTAAGCTATATTAAATATTGTATTTTTAATTTTAGTGTTTGAAATTATACTGTAGAGGGATGTGAGTAGATTTAGTGACTTAAAAGTATGACTTTAGGTTTTGTCCTTTTGTAAGCAGATTAAAATGTAAAGGCTTAAAATCATGTATGTGAGAGGCATTGTTACTTTTTAAACAAATTTATGGACTGGTAAACCTCTTTTATGAACTATATCTCGTTAGGCCCACAGTGCCACACACACACAAAAAGTTTATCTTAAAAACCATTGCATGAGTAAAATTGCAAAGCAGATTGCTTCTACTTATCTTTTTTAATCTTTCAAATAGAACAAAAAACTTTTTGTAACTGCAACTTACCAAGTTTTTAGATATCAGTTCAGTGATTGGGGGAGGAGAGAAATGAAGGAGGAAGTTACAGGTAAAAAATATGTATATGTACATGAGTCTCACCCAAAGAATAGAATACTGTCTCCAACCTTACCCTGCTGTGGCCATATACTTGTAGGGAAGTTGTTTCTATGCCTCTTCAGCTCCTCTGAACTGCCAAATCTCTACTGACATTACATTTCCCGCCAGATGAACATGAACCAGAATCAGTCTGAGCATTTTTTCTTTGTATGTTTGGTACCTGTGCATAACATTTTTCACTGAGTAAAAATTAGTAAGACTGCTTGAGTATGTTTGCCTTAGCGAATGGGAAAATTATTTTTCCAGTTCAAAGATGAATTTTAGACATGGACATCTCAGAAAATGAAAGAATTTAAGTGATTTCATAGTAGTTTTCCCCGCTTAAAAATGTGCTTGGATAATGTTACTTTATTCAAATTGCTGGGAATTATGAGAGGTTTAGGGAGAGATTTTTTGGAGCTGTGCTTTTTAAAAATTTTATTTTGGGTTTACTTCATATTTACACAAAAGTTGCAAAGATAGAACTGAGAAGCACCTTTTACCTTTCACCCAGCTTCCTCTAATGTTAATATAACCATGGTACATTTGTCAAAACTAGGAGATTAACAATGATACAGTGTTATTAGCTAAACTATAGACTTTATTCTGATATCACCATTTTTTCACTAATGCCCATTTTCTGTTTCAGAATCCAGTTCAGGATACCACATTGCATATAGTATTATTGTGTTTAAAACCAAGGGGAAATATACACATAAAATGCAACTTTATACCAGTTTAGTTTGGCATTTTTAAAAAATTTTTATTTATTATTTTTGGCTGCGTTGGGTCTTTGTTGCTGCGCGCAGGCTTTCTCTAGATGCGGCGAGCAGGGGCCACTCTTCGTTGTGGTGCGAGGCCTTCCCATTGCAGTGGCTTCTCTTGTGGAGCATGGGCTCTAGGCGCGTGGGCTTCAGTAGTTGTGGCGCATGGGCTCAGTAGTTGTGGCTCACGGGCTCCAGAGTGCAGGCTCAGTAGTTGTGGCGCACAGGCTTAGGAGCTCCGCGGTATGTGGGATCTTCCTGGACCAGGGCTCGAACCCGTGTTCCCTGCATTGGCAGGCAGATTCCCAACCACTGGACCACCAGGGAAGCCCTAGTTTGGTATTTTAAGATTAAAAGGGCATTGAAAAGCCAATAGCTGTACTGCAGATTTGCTTTACATATTTTCAATTTAGAATTTGTTAGAGTATGTTATGTGTTCATCCTGGATCCTGGCCAAGAGTGTTTGGTTACCCTCAGTACAGAGCTGAATAGTTCTAATCACAAAGCAGTCTCACCTGTAATGTCCCACAGCGTGGACTCTCAAAATTGGTTTGATGGCAAGACTCTTTTATACTTATTAAGAGTTGTGTAGTTTTAGTAATAGATCAAGGTATAGAAAAAGTAGACCTTGGGCCTCCCTGGTGGCGCAGTGGTTAAGAATCCACCTGCCAATGCAGGGGACACGGGTTCGAGCCCTGGTCCGGGAAGATCCCACATGCCGCGGAGCAACTAAGCCCGTGAGCCACAGCTGCTGAGCCCGCGTGCCACAGCTACTGAAGCCCGCATGCCTAGAGCCCATGAGCCACAACCAGAGAGGCCACTGCGACAAGAGGCCTGCGCACCGCAACAAAGAGTAGCCCCCACTCAATGCAACTAGAGAAAGCCTGCGCACAGCAACGAAGACCCAATGCAGCCAAAAATAAAATAAATAAATTTATTAAAAAAAGAAAAGAAAAAGTAGACCTTTATGAGATATTAACTTGTCCAGTCTACATTTGTGTGAACCTGTGAATTACTAATTTGTTTATTTCGTTTGTAATTCAGTGTAATAAATTGAACAAGTAAATATTATGAAAGGCATTGCCTGAATTTCAGTTTAACTTGTAAATTTAGTGTTCATTTACTACGTAAATGTTGGTGAACTACAAAGTGAATAATAGCTTATTTCAAAAAAAGGTTATTTTGGCTGTTATTTCAAATAAGACTTACACTGTCATTGTAAGGAATTCATTAGGCAATTGTTTTTGTATCTGCAGTCTGTGTTCTTTACGGTTCCTTTGAAGATTTTAAGAAACTTTAGTACTTGCCTAAGAGTGGTTCTTAAGTTTGTTTTCACCTTAGCTTCACACTTGTTTCCAGTTATATTCTTTCCTTGCCCATTTCTGGCTTTCATAAAGCCATTAACTGAGAGGTTAATAATCCTTTCTAAATGTGATGTAACAAGTTGGTATGAAGTTTATTTTTTTCCTTTACACAGGTGTTATGGAGAAGGTGTCCTTGGGTGGTGTGTGTGTGTGTGTGTGTGTGTGTGTGTGTGTGTGTGTCCCCGTTTTATGCCTGGTTGTAGTGGAGAATGCCCTTGTAATGAATTTGCTATAGCAGTGTCCCAGGGCTACTCTTGGATGTGGTCTTATTTACCATGTGATTATGTGTTTGTATACAGAGGGAAACTCGGATTACCTTCAGTTACAACCTTTTACAGTAATGCCAGTGTCCATGTTAATAGGTGTTTTGTTTGTCAATAAGAATATTAGAATTACTGAGAGAAACACTGGTGGATTTTTCTTTTAATGTCTAGGCTTAATGAAGAGGGTTATCTTGAATCCAAACCAAATACTAATTCTTGCTTGGGATATGTGTTTTTATGTCTCCCTCCCTTTGTAGTGTTTCCAGTAGCCTAACATCACACATTTTAAAAAAATTAATTAATTAATTTATGGCTGTGTTGGGTGTTCGTTGCTGTGTGTGGGCTTTCTCCAGTTGCGGTGAGCAGGGGCTACTGTTCGTTGTGGTGCGTGGGCTTCTCATTGCGGTGGCTTCTCTTGTTTTGGAGCAAGGGCTCTAGGCACGCGGGTTTCAGTAGTTGTGGCTCATGGGCTCTAGAGCGCAGGCTCAGTAGTTGTGGCGCACGAGCTTAGTTGCTCCATGTCATGTGGGATCTTCCTGGACCAGGGCTTGAACCTGTGTCCCCTGCATTGGCAGGCAGATTCTTAACCACTGCGCCACGGGGGAAGCCCCATCACACATTCTTACAACTGTTTTTTGGTCTCAGATTCTAATTTACCTATTTTTTTGGTATGCTGCTGACGAAATTTCTCTTACAAATGAATGGTTTTAGTAGGCTTTGTAGTTTTGAAATATTGGGGGGTTATTCATTGTGGAATTGTTTTAAAATTGGTGTAGAGTTTTTCATTGAAGACTGTAATATCTCAAGGTCGGTTTTATTCATTTTTCCTATCATTTCCTTTGCAATAATTTTAAAATAAAATACTTTTATTCATTCAATAAGTATTTATTGATCATTATGCTAAGCACAATTGGATGTTTTTCAAATCTGTCTTCATAATCTTAGTTATCATAAGGATAATATAGGATTATATAGTGCTTTACAGTTTATGAAACTTAACACTTTCTTTAGGATCTTATGACCCTGCAAGGTAATATTTTTCCCATAAGGTCCTGCTCTAAATCACACATGATTCCACAGTTCTAGCTAGGCTAGAACCCAGTTATGAATTTTTTCCTTTCTAGTGCAATGTACTCCCTTCTTCTAAGCATTTATAGTCTTAGCTTATATTATGAAAGTCTAGTATTCTTGTTTCAGTGTTCATAAATAGTTTTTATATATGCTTTTAACCTTAGGTTTACTCAAAAAAGTTCAAGTACATCATTTTGTCCTAGGTTTGGGGATTTCCCTTCAATTAATGGCCTGCATTGTTGGGAAAAGTGGCACTGTAGTTTATTTTTATTTAGCTTCTGGAGAAGGGGGTTCTAGTATTTATTCAGACTTGTCATTTGAGTAGTTGTATGTATTTTCAAGGAATTTCTTGAACTAGAAAGCTGTTCACTTATGGTTGAATATCTGCTCTTATTAAGATTTTGTTAAAAAAAATACTCAGATGCCATAAATTTGACTTTTTATTTTAAGGATGAAGAAGAGACAAAATGCCAGTACAGTTGTCTCTCTATATCTGTGGGTTCTGCATCCTTGGAGGTCTGCCTGTAGTATACATTTTATGTAAGGGAATTGAGCATGGGGGATTTTGGTATCTGCAGGGTCCTGGAACCAATACCCTGGGGATACCTACGAATGACTGCATTGTAAAATTAATTTGTATGTAAGATACTATATTCTTTGGTATAAGTTGAAAAATTGTATATTTAATGCCGGTCAGAAAAAATTCAAGGTTGGTTCTCCAAAGGTGAACAATAACCTTAAGAAGATAAGAATTGGATTTGAAGCACTATACTTTAGTGTAGATGTCAGTATAAAGGATAGATTTAAATATCTTTAGTTTATTTAAAATGCCAAGTGACTGGGCTTCCCTGGTGGCGCAGTGGTTAAGAGTCCGCCTGCCGATGCAGGGGACACGGGTTCGTGCCCTGGTCTGGGAAGATCCCACATGCTGTGGAGCGGCTGGGCCCGTGAGCCATGGCCGCTGGGCCTGCGCATCAGGAGCCTGTGCTCTGCAACGGGAGAGGCCACAACAGTGAGAGGCCCACATACCGCAAAAAAAAAAAAAAAAAAAGCCAAGAGACTGAAGTGAAACATGAATTGTTACTCTAATATAGGGAAAGATTACTTAAGCTTGTAATTTTTATACCAGGTAGAATTTGAAGAATGTAAGCTACTTTTAAAGTCTGGTGCTTCATTTTAACAATTTAAGTTTGATAAGTTTAAATGTTTGTGTTTAAAAGATAGATCACTATTTTAGTTCAGGCCTGGACATTTGTACTGGGTCCTACGGTTTCTCTGCCTTTATTGTCTTCAGCCTTTCAGTCTTCTTCACTAGGTCTTAGTTTATCTTTATAAAGCACAGATCTGATTGCGCCACTCACTTGCCTCAAAACCTTTTATAGCTTTCATTCACTATCTGTAGGATAAAGTCCAAACTCCTTAGTAGGACCTGTGAAACCATTTACTACAGGCCCTGATAAAAATGCCTAGTCCTGTTCCCCATTACTCTTTGCTATGAATATGAATGTTTTCTGGATCCTCTCGAACTCCAAACTACACATTATTTTTTTAAAGTCTCTTAAAAGTCTGTGACTTTATTTCTATACCTTGTTAATGCCTGTATTTCTGCTTCCTAACCACACACAGTGAAATCTTAAATTTTATCCACAATTACTTTAAAATCTCTTATGTGAAATCGTTTTTTTTTTTTTTCATTTTTCTATGTTCCCCCAAAGTGTTCTGATTATATGCCTAGTGTACACCACTATTCACATAGTAGTAGCTTGTATGTGTATGTCTGCTTGGATAGATTGTGAACCACTTGAAGATGAGCTTGTATGTCTCATGGGCTTACTCATCCTTATTTCATCTTGGCAGATAGGCTCAAATGTCTTGAATGGCGTCATTACACTGTGGTTCATCTATTGAAATATATACTCTTCAACTGTATGTGTACATGAAAATTAGGTAGTGAGTCTCCTTAAATTTTTAGGTTCATCTGATTGTACAATATTTGTATTAAATTTTGTGGAATGGTTTATGTTGAGAGAACAGTATTTGTCTTAACCTTTTTTTTTTTTATGGTCACAAGACCCCCCTTTGAGAATATGAAGAAACTCTAGATACCATTGCCCCCACCCCCACCCCAGGCCCTCTATCAAAAAGTTGGTATGCTATTTTAGAGGATTTAAAGATCCCTTGAATCCCAGGCATGGATCCTAGGTTGAGAATTCTGGGCTAGATATGCTCATGTTCTCATTGTCTAGTGGTGTGTGGAGTTATGGGAAATCATATACAGATCTAGAAGGAAATGGGTTAGGGATGGCATTATTTTGATGGTGATTAATTCATATAGGGTCTCATTCCCCACATCTTTACCCCTGGTCTTAGTGGGAGACAAGTATGGTATAGTATTTAAGAGCCTGGCTTCTGGAGTTAGACTGGCTTAGTTTTAAATCCTGTTTTGGCCATTTGATAGCTGTGTGATTTTGTCTGTCAATTTTGTCATCTGTGATATGGGGATAGTCATAATACCTCATAGGATAGTTGTAAGCAACAGGTGATATAATCTTATAAATCCCTATCATGGTTCTTGGCATATAAAAGTGGTTTTTGGCATATAAAAGAGCGGTTCAAATGTTAGATGTTACTGTTATTATTCCTTAAAAAATTTACCCTTTGAATGTCAATGTAAAAAAAATTTGACATTGATTTGTTGGGTTTTATTGCTTTCTACTTTCCTCCATTGGTATTTTTCTAGTCTTGTCTAATCCATAAAATATGGAGATGATATCTGAGATTCTAGCAGGTCACAGAATACAAAATGTATATGTCTAGCATTCTTCTGCAAACTTAGGTAGAAATAGTAGGTAAAGCAACAGTCTATATCCTCCAGCTTTTAGATTCTAGAAAAACCTTTCAGATGGGCTGACTTTGCAGTGGTGGTCACAGGGCAATAACCTTTCCTCATTAAAATTTTTTAAGGTCTCATATTTTTTTAGTAGTTCATGGGAAAAAGAATTTGATGGCTCACTAAAGGAATCGCCCTCGCCCTGAGTTTACTCTGGAGTACCTTAATACATGCCATGAAAGAGTAGCTTTAATTGTTTGATTTAAGGTTGATAGCAGTAATATACAAATCTTCACTTTTTCTAACTCAGGGAACTGCTGACACTGCTCTGATATTTCTTTTTCGTATGCGTATGTAATGTACCTGATTTAGTGGTATGTTTTTAGTGAGTTTTATACCTTTTGAACTCTTTTCAGTGAGGTATGTTTGGTTTGAGCTGTCCGTAATCTTTTCTCTAGCTACTTCTACTTTTATTTATTTATTTTTAACTGTAGATCATAGGTGAGGGATTAGAAAATCAGTTGGTAGTCATAAAACAAATAATATTCTAATTGAACTTTTTTCCTGCTCAAATAGCATGGCTTATCTTTGCAATAACTAACAAAATTGGAAGTGATGATTATTGTAGTTTATATAGTACTTCTGTATTTGAGCTGTGTTGTGTTACTAAGAGAACTTTTATTTTCAGGTGGTAGGGTTTATATCAGTTTTTTGAGGATTGGATTAAATGTACCACAAATACATATCACATAACATTTTTTGTTTTCTTTACCCAGACAGGTGATTTGGCTTCTGCACAGTTAGGAGGAGCACCAAACCGATGGGAGGTTTTGTCAGCCACACCTACAACTATAAAAGATGAAGCTGGTAATCTAGTACAGATTCCAAGTGCTGCTACTTCCAGTGGGCAGTATGTCCTTCCCCTTCAGAATTTGCAGAATCAGCAAATATTTTCAGTTGCACCAGGATCAGATTCATCAAATGGTACAGTGTCCAATGTTCAGTATCAAGTAATACCACAGATTCAGTCATCAGATGGTCAGCAGGTTCAGATTGGTTTCACAGGCTCTTCAGATAATGGGGGTATAAATCAAGAAAGTGGTCAAATTCAGATCATTCCTGGCTCTAATCAAACCTTGCTTGCCTCTGGAACACCTCCTGCTAATATCCAGAATCTCATACCACAGACTGGTCAAGTCCAGGTTCAGGGAGTTGCAATTGGTGGTTCATCCTTTCCTGGCCAAACCCAAGTAGTTGCTAATGTGCCTCTTGGTCTTCCAGGAAATATTACCTTTGTACCAATCAATAGTGTCGATCTAGATTCTTTGGGACTCTCGGGCAGTTCTCAGACAATGACCGCAGGCATTAATGCTGATGGACATTTGATAAACACAGGACAAGCTATGGATAGTTCAGACAATTCAGAAAGGACTGGTGAGCGGGTTTCTCCTGATATTAATGAAACTAATACTGAGACAGATTTATTTGTGCCAACATCCTCTTCATCACAGTTGCCTGTTACTATAGATAGTACAGGTATATTACAACAAAATACAAATAGCTTGACTACTACTAGTGGGCAAGTCCATTCTTCAGATCTTCAGGGAAATTATATCCAGTCGCCTGTTTCTGAAGAGACACAGGCTCAGAATATTCAGGTTTCTACAGCACAGCCTGTTGTACAACATCTACAACTTCAAGAGTCTCAGCAGCCAACCAGTCAAGCCCAAATTGTGCAAGGTATTACACCACAGACAATCCATGGTGTGCAAGCCAGTGGTCAGAATATATCACAACAGGCTTTGCAAAATCTTCAGTTGCAGCTGAATCCTGGAACCTTTTTAATTCAGGCACAGACAGTGACCCCTTCTGGACAGATAACTTGGCAAACATTTCAAGTACAAGGGGTTCAGAACTTGCAGAATTTGCAAATACAGAATACTGCTGCCCAACAAATAACTTTGACGCCTGTTCAGACACTCACGCTTGGTCAAGTTGCAGCAGGTGGAGCCTTGACTTCAACTCCAGTTAGTCTAAGCACTGGTCAGTTGCCAAATCTACAGACAGTTACAGTAAACTCTATAGATTCTACTGGTATACAACTACACCCCGGAGAGAATGCTGACAGTCCTGCAGGTGAGTTTTCCAAGTCATGTCATGCTATAGATAAGTTCAGTGAGGTGTTCATCAGTATCTGGCTGTCTTTAAAGGTGATGATACATTTCCTTGTGTCTTTGTGAAAAGTCAACACCAAAATGTGTTTCAAATTGTTCTTCATTGAAAGATTGTAGTTTTGAAGTCAAAGATTCATTTCTCTGTTATGCCAATTACATTTGTTGTTTTTCATCACTTAGTTTTGTACATTTTTTCACATCTGTTTGGTACTCTCAAGCATCACAAAATTTTTATTTGGCATGTAAGGTGTCTTGGCTGTTCTTGGTGTGATGTAAATTAAATGTTCTGTGCATTTTATTTGGTTGGGCAATCAGGTTGGTATAGTGAAAACATGGTACTGGGAGTAGGTACTGTTTATGCTGTCTCACCCATTAGCTAGCCTGTGTGGTTTTGGCTAAGTTACTTTTTCTCTTGCAAACTCAGTTCTCTCAGCATGTAAAATGCAGCTGTTGGCCTAGGTAACTATATCTCGGGTACCTTCTAGACCTAAAATTCTTCAGTTCTGTGATAGTTTATTCTTACAAGTGTGAAGCACTTAAACCTAGGTGTGTTAGATACGTTATTATTGATAGTATGGGTAGAAATTTCGGAAGTCTACTCTTTGTTGTGTAAGAATTAAGTAGTACATAATTATTTAATAATAAAAATATAACTCTTTTAAAAGATAGTATCCTCATTACCTTTGTGCTGTTATTTATTTAGATAGTGTTTTATTGAATCCTTTGTTGTACACTAAATTCTTACTTTTACTCTTTTACGTCATTATTTGGGTTTTTGTGGAGATTGTGCTGTTACAACCTTCCACTGAGTCAGTGATTCTAAACTCTTAAATTGGGACACTTGGATTTAATTTTTTGAAGTAATGGTATTTTTTCTTTTGAGGAATTTGTGATATATACTTAGAAAATAGGAATTGTCTGTGCTTAGAAAGCCTTTAATTGCATTTGAGCCTTCTGAAGCTATGGTTTAGAGCAGCATTCTCAAAGTGTGGTCTGTGGATCTCTGAGGATCCCTGAGACCCTGTCAGAGGTCCTTGATATCAAACTACTTTTAATAATAATAGTACAATTTATTTGCCTTTTTTCTTGTATAGACATTTTCACTGATGGTGGCTAAAACTGCTGTGTTTTAGCGCAAATCAAAGCTGTGATGCTAAACTACTACTAGTTGTATTCTTTATGACCATCCACTTGCAGTTAAAGAAAAATGCTAGCTAGCTTCACTGAGCAATGACCTTGATGAACAAGTCGAAAGAGTTATTTTTACTAAACCTTGACCCTTGAATGCTGCATGTCCTTTTTAAAATAATAGCTTTATTGAAATATAATTCACATACTATAAAACTCGCCCTTTAAAGTATATAGTTTAGTGGTTTTTAATATAGGCACAGACTGGTGCACCCATCACCACTCTCTAATTTTAGAACATTTTCAGCACCTCCCCCAAACCCCGTACCCATTAGCAGTCACTCCACATTCCCTGCCCCGTCCCCTGAGCCCCCAGCAACCACTAATCTACTTTCTGTCTCTTTAGATTTGCCTATTATATCTTATCAGTAGAATCATACAGTATGTGGCTCTCTGTGTCTGACTTTTAATTTACCATAATATTTTTAGGGTTCATCTGTCTTGTAGCCTTTAAACGTACTTTGTTCTTTTTTGTGGTTGAATAATATTCCATTGTATGGATATACCACACTTTATTCCTTTATCCATTGATGGACAACATTTCCATTTTTTAGCTATTAAGAATAATGCTGCTATGAACATTCGTGTACAGTTTTTTGGTGTGGACATGTTTTTGTTTCTTTTGGGTATATACTTAGCAGTGGAATTGCTGGGTTGTATGTTTAACATTTTGAGGAACTGCCAAACTGTTTTTCCAAAGTGACTACCATTTTACATTCTCACCAGCAGAAGGGTTCCGGTTTTTCTATATCCCCACCAACATTTATCATTGTCCTCCTTCTTGATTTTAGATATACTAAGAATGGGTGTGAAGTGGTATCTCATTGTGTTTCTGATTTGTAGTTCCTGCTGCATGTCTTCGTAATATTCTTTATGACAAAATGGGAAGCATACTTTAATAAAGCACTTCTGCTGCATACCAAAATAAGATGATTATCTTTGAAAAAATATATATTGTTTTCAATTGAGCAATTGTATGAGTTGCAAGCTGAACTAGGTGCTATTTTTTGGAAACACATTTTACTTGAAAGACTGACAAACTATGGTTATTGAGAGACTCATGTACTTAAGTGACAGATATTTTCTAAAAAGTATAATGAATTAAGTGAGCCTGTCCCTAAAAGGAAAAAAACTTGACTGTTTGCTACCAATGATAAAATTTGGGCTTTCCAGTGAAAATTAGAATTTTGGAAAACTTGAATCTACTACTATGAACTTGGTAACTTGTTAATAATTACATACTTTTATGATGAAATGGACAGTGATATTAATATTAATAAATAGCATTTTGGGGGATACTGTATTATAATGAAATATGCCATCATTTGGAAGATCTTTATGATAACTGAGTGAACCAGTAGTTTTCAGATGATCAACTCATGTTACAAAATCCTGCATGGGTAAAAGATCCATCTGTTCAGAGTTCAAGATAGGCCAACAACAAGCATGTGGAAAGTTTACCAATATAGTTTCAGATTCTACATTACAACTGACCTTTAAGAAATTTAGCACTTGTCAGATTTGGTATAGTATCCAAGAAGAATAACCACAATTGGCTGAAAGACTATCAGATTACTTCTTTTTCCAGCCACATATCTTTGTGAAACTAGATATTCTTCATATGCTTCAGCCCAAACCACGTATTGCAACACACTGCAAAAGCAAATATGAAACTCTAGTTGTCTTTTTTTAACCTAGATATTAAAGAGATTTGCAAAAATGTGAAACATGACCTCTCTCCTCATTAAACTTTTATTTATGTTTTTGGAAAATAGTTGTTTTTCATAAAATCTTAATTTGTGTTAACATTTAATGGATTTATTGTTTTCAAATGAATCAAAACAGTAAAAATTTCTCTTCTAATTCTAATACAGTAAATATCAAAATAAATACCCTACCTTAACAAAAGCTTTTTGGGGACCTCAGTAATATTTAAGAGTTTAGAAGGAGTCCTGAGACCAAAAAGTTTGAGAATATTGGTAGATGACAGACTTCTGAAGACATAGGAGATAGTTTTTAGAAACCAGTTTTTAAAGCTTCCACAAAGTGAAAGTTATGGAGATCTATACATGTTAGAAAAACACCTCTAGAGAATTTATTTCTAATTTTGTGGATTTATGTTGGTCATGAAATTAGATTGATATAAAGCACTAAGTGCTCAGTACAATAATTTATTTCCAAAATACTATCAAAATAGCAACAGTGTTTGAATTAAATACAAAATCGAATTTTTAGGATGATAATTTAGTTTATTGTATGTTGTCAAGGAAGGGTAAAATAAGCACTCCAGAAGGCCATTAAATTTGAATTTTTTTCCGAATTTTAAAGGAATGGGGAAAGAACTTGAGAAAATAAAAGTTAAAGAGAATCAGAATAAAAATGCTGCATAGTACATAACAGCATATTTAGAAATAAAAACCAGGAAGTTGTAATTTGGGGTTAATTTGGTAATAGGAAAACTATCCCTTGGTGTACTGTCTTTTTAATTGGCAAGAAGGAAGAAATTATTTTAGGATGTGTTTTCTTACATGAAAAATCAGTAAAAAAAACTTTATCGGTGTTAGAGCATAGTATGCACAGATGAACTGCTTAAAATTTTGACACCATTGGTTTGCATTTTGCTTTTTGGTGAGTATGGAAACAATGTAACACATTTCCCAAATAAATGAGACCACACCGTTTTTTTTACCAGGACTCTGCAATTTCTTTGACCTTTTTTCTAAGCTCCCCTTTCACAAAAATGACCTCTATTCCAACCTGTTTTAAGAAGTGAATCTGATTCAGGGTCTCTCCTCATGAGGGGTATGTTTAGTGCCTCTTATCCCTTAGAAACCAAACCCCCATCTTCCTTGGAACATAGAGCTCATTGGGCCCCAAGCTGCAACCCCACTCACTCCCTTTATTTCTTTTCCTTGCCCACTGAGAAATGCATGCTGTTTCTGAAATTTAATTTTTACTCTACCATTTGCTGTGTATTTGAAGCTAGGCGATCTTTCTGACATCTTTTCGAGTGAGAAAATTTCTCCCAAATTCAAGCCAAGACTTAGCCAGTTTCTCAAATTTTAGTTCTCTACCCGATTTTGGCTTATCCTCTAAGATTGGGTATATTTAAAGCTTGGTGTCATGCACATTTTAAAATATTGTCATAACTATACTGCTTGTACAGTTTTTTTTTATCCTGCTCAATTTTTAGTTACTTTTTTTGGTAGGGTGACCATACCTGTTAAGTATTTAGGTCAGGAATTATATTCTATTTAATTTTCTATTAATATAGTTAAAAAGACCCCACATGAGAAAGAGCTGTCAAATTCACTGCCTAAAACCAGGGCCTGGCCTAGGATTCCTTTTTGTAGAGGCGAGCTTAAAAAAAAAAAAAAAAGTTTGTTGCTGTCTGTTACTCTAAGGTACAGCTTAAATGAGGCTGTACACTTACAGAAATGAGAAGAGGACATGGGGAAATAGGAGGACATCAAAAATCTTGTGATCAGATTCTGAACCAGTCTGAACCATTGGGCGATTAACTTGGTGTCTAGATTTATGACATCTCCAGTATTAGCTCTGAAGCCAATAAAAGACCTAGGTCTACATTAGGGCCAAACAGACTTGGTGGAAACACTTGGAAAAATGCCAGGCATGGAGGTATAATGCAGAGAGAAAAATTATACTCAGTATAAGCCTGAAAACCAAAATTGCAAAATACATGATGAAGGGAAAATCTATGAAAGATAGCCAGTAAAATCAACAATCAAGAGATGAATTCATGTCCAATTAAAG